CCAGGAGAATTTGCACCAATGTAATTGTCATTGTCGGGCACTGATAGCTGGAGAACCACCGCCCTAGCCTGACAGTAGCAGGCCTTGGGCTCTCACCCCCTGGCAATAAAAAGCAATGTAAGCAACACAGGGTCTACACTGATACTGTGTCAACATAACTATGTTGACTTCAAACAGTTGATTAAGTTGGTGTAGTGAACCACTTTCACAGGTGGAAGCAATAGTGTAGTGTAGAATGGATACTATCTCTCCGGTCTGTTCAGCATAACCACCTGACTTGGAATGCTTCTTTGGCCCACAGTTTCAACAGACTGGCCTTGCTCCTCTCCAGCCATTCCTATCTCCATACTAGCCAGACTCTATTCTAGCTTCATCTCTCCTACTCAGCCAGCCATGCTGACAGCCATGGAGCTCAGAAGCTATATCACTGGAAACATAGTCAAAATCAGTATATCTCCATGAAATATTTAGACTGCATATTTTGACCAAAGAAAATTAGTTGAAAATGCTTTTGACCAGCTTCAGTGACAACTCTGGCCACAGAAATACAAATGGATCGATCCATATTATGTATGCTGTGGTATACCCCTGCTTGCAATCATTCATTATATATGTAATGTATATCTTATAGCTGAATGAATAAATCATTCTTTGTGAATTATTCAACAAATGGTCTCTTTTTGCTCACCGATCATGATTTCCTCAAATGTATTCATTATTCAAATTATTTTGACAAATGTCTGTTCCAAGTTTTTATTCTAGTACTGATTGTGACTATTCTAAATGTGAGAGGTTTTCCCCCTCAGCTGTAATTTGTTATGTGGTATTATTTCCCTTCCCAGTACAGAATAGAATCCTTCTGATTTGCTTAGAACTATGTTGCCTCTGAAATGCTGACTGAAGTGAAAGCTAGTAAAAAGCAATGCGGGCAAATATGAATACACACAGTGAGTAGATCAGTTGAATAAGGTTCTATTTTAACATTTAAATTGGTGGAATTTAGAAATCCTTTATCTGTAACAGTTAAATTTAATAATCAAAACAGATAGCTTTGCAATCTAAATTAACCTCTCCCAAAAAGCAATGGATTTAAATCTACACGGCTTTAAGCCACAGTTGCAGCCTCGAATTTAATCTACAATGAAACCTGGTAACTGCCATAATTTAGGCCCTGATTGAGGAAGGTACTTAAGCATCTGAGCAGTCGCATTGTTTTCAAAGTATTCATTCTTAAAGTTACACTCAGGGTTAATGAATTAGTGTCTGAGCCAGGCTGCTAGTGGAGGGGGAGCATTGTGCTTCCTAGGTTGAAATTGATAAGCTATATCAAAGATTAAGTGGAAAGTAGAATGCTATTCTTAGAACTTGCATCAGACCTGCCAGACTGATATTATAAGTAAATCATTGCTGAATCTGAGAGTCCATCCTGATTTTATCTGTTGCAATTAATGTCATTCCTTAGATAAATATTTTTCTTAACTCTGTAAGTTAGCTGCCCAAATAATTGAGGGATATACAACACATCTAGTCAACTACAGGCAGTCCCCGGGTTACATGGATCCGACTTACATTGGATCCCTACTTACAAACGGGGTGAGGCAACCCCGCACTAGCTGCTTCCCCCCAGCAGACCAGGGAGACGCTGAGCGGCTTTTCTCAGCAGACACCTCAGCTGGAGAATAAAGGACTGAGGGAAGTGAGGTGTGGGAGAATAAAACTGAGCTCTGGAGAAATGTTTGGCTAGATTTTCCCCTACAATATGTACCAGTTCCGACTTACATACAAATTCAACTTAAGAACAAACCTACAGTCCCTATCTTGTACGTAACCCGGGGACTTCCTGTACTGAAATCACTGACAGTGTTACTTTCAATTCTTAATCAAAGCATTGGCCATCTGGATCTGTCCACTAGCTTCATGCTCCCTGGATCAAGCCCTATAATACTAATGTTTTTAATTGAACTAATACAGTAAGGATGTAATTTATGGAAGAGAATTTAGATCTATTGATCATGTTTTCTTGGGATTCAAGGCAAAGTCAAGTATCAGAGGGGTAGCCGTGTTAATCTGAATCTGCAAAAGCGATGAGGAGTCCTGTGGCACTTTATAGACTAACAGATTTATTGGAGCATAAGCTTTCATGGGCAAAGACCCACTTGCATCTGACAAAGTGGGTCTTTGCCCACGAAAGTTTATGTTCCAATAAATCTGTTAGTCGTTAAGGTGCCACAGGACTCCTCATCGCTAGGGCAAAGTCAGTCAATGTTATAACTAACTGAACACAACAAATAACATTAGGGGTTGGATGCACTACTTAATTCACAAGCAAAGAATTTCAAGATCAGGCTTCCTCTATTTTGGATTCAGAATAAGAAGGTTTCCCAACTTTTAGCATTTTAAAAGTGGAAAATACTGTAGATGGTTCAGAACGGTATTTGACTGGCCATAAATCTTTTGTACATCATGTCCAATGAGACGATGTTATGTGTATACAAATGGTACCACAGCAATGTTATGACTTACAATTTTAAAAAAATCTTCTGTTATTAAGGTTGCCTTAAAGTGAAAGGTTCATACACTGTAACAAAGGAATTTGACGTTCATATTTTCTTCCATTTTTAATTCCTGTAGTGAAACAAAAATATTGGTGTATAATGCATATGGAACGTAAAATGACTGTCTAGTTTGAGATATTCTGTCAGAAGACCATATGTATTACAGCATTTAATGAATATGTTTTCTTCTCCATTATATGTGCGAACACTAGGTATGCATGAGTGGCCAAATACGAATGCTTTGATAGCTTCAACTTGGAATTGCTGTTTTGTATTAAAGTTTGATTTTTAAGACCAAATGTTCAGTCATGGCCACAACAAATGCATCAGGAAATATACCAGTTAATCTGCTATACCTTGCATGCTTTATATTTGCATAAGTGGGTTTGTGTGCAGTTATCTAATATGTGTATGCTGTTTGGGTATTTTGTCTCATTTAATGTCCTTTTTAATCACATTAATTGCTCATCATTTGATGGGCAGTCAGCATAATAACCTTCATTTTGCAATGAATAGGTTGACATAATAAGAAATCTTATTGTACACTAACAAGGTTTATAACATAGTCTCTTCTTTATTGTGGAGATTACAGAACTTTTTGTAAAAATATAATACTGTGTGTATTGTGTATGTTTACCAGCTAATTTATACACGAGTATCTTGGATGTTTTCTCTCTTCATCATTGACTAATGACTTAATCTGTATGGTTTTTTTTAAGTTAACCCCATTTGGCTTAGAACCGTGGCCCTATAATTAAAGTGCAGGATTTATTCAAGAGAGTTTATTTTTCTTCACAGCCATACTACTAACTTGCTTTGTGATATGTGACAAATCCTTCATCCTCAATTTGTTACACTTTACCTATTTCATGGCAATAAAAATCCTTACCAATTGAGGCTTATTTCACTGTTTATAAAACACTTTAATGTCTTTGGCTGGAAGGTGTACTAGAAGTGGAAAGTATTATATTAATACTCAACAAGAAAAAAGCACCTGAAAACCAAGAGAACTGAGTGTTTCAGTTAGTTTGTAAGAGACAAATAGTTTTCTGGATTTAAGTGACTCCTTCTGGCAAGAAAATGTGCTGGTGACTGATAACCCTTACATGATTTTGATTCAGTTTTTAGACAAGGCATTATCATAAACTGCTGCTTGTGTTGCTGTAGCTATCAAAGGCTCCAATCTTGATTGGAACCCTTTTATGATAGTCACTGTAAAATTTCATCTAGTTTAAGAGTTTACAATCTAGTTTAATGCTCTCAGGGTGCATTTGCACTCACTAGTCACGTAAAAAAAACTTTAAAAACAGTGATCCTTTAGCACCTTAGGGTACGTCTACCCTGCATGGTTATTTTGAAATAAGCTATTCTGGAATAGTTATTCCAGAATAGCTTATTTTGAAATAGCACATCCACACCACAGGGAAGCCTCAAAATCAGTCCCAGACATGCTTCCCTAATATAGATGTGCTATCTCGATATAGAGCCCCAAGAGGCACTGGGGAGGAATAACTTAGAATGGCCCTGGTGTGGGGCTATTTCGAAATAGCAGCAGTGGAGCGTCTACACACGCTTTATTTAGAAATAGCTGTTTCAGAATATCAGAGGGGTAGACATGTTAGTCTGAATCTGCAAAAGCAGAATAGACATTCCTTGTAGAATGAGGTATAAGCTGGCCGTTACTTTGAAATAATTTTGAAATTATTTCAAAATAACGGAATGGTTGTGTAGACACTTGCATTGTTATTTTGAAATAACACTGGTTATCTCAAAAAACGGTGCAGTGTAGATGCACCCTTACAAACTGCAAAAATATATAAAATAGTACCTGAAGATTTAATTCTTCAGATACTATTTATGTATTTTTGTTAATCTCTACGGTGCTATGGGACCCTTGTTGTTTTTTTTTTTTAGTTACAGATTAACACGGCTACCCCTTTGAGACTAGTCAAGTAGTTGGGTATTAAAATGAAGTTTGTTTTCTTAGATCTGTGGCCCTCCCTCTATGTTGCAGTTACAGCACATCCTGCTTTTCTGTGTTTAAGAGAAAAAGAAGCCATGGAAAGCTTTTGGCTCAGTTGGTTCTTCTTTCAGTGTGGGAAATTTTAGGACCTGATTTTTCAGTGTTGCTCCAGTTTTACAGCTACAGGTGTAACTCCATGTTTTCAATGCAGTTGCTCCGGCATTAAGCTGGAATATGCAGTGGTGACTCTATTTTTGGGTAGTAGAGCCTATAACACACAACTTCACTTTTCCTCCATTAGGACATTGGTGTGATGTACACTAAGCATATCCTCAAGCCTGGGTCCAGTTTTCATCTGTTGGCACTCAGGCTTGAGTACTTGAATCCACATTCAACCTGGTCCCCACCATCTGTATTTAAGGTTACCTCCATTGTTGGAATGAATCATTTTCAGAGGTCTGAGTTCTTTACATATGTAAATATATTTGCAAAGTGTGTCACATGCATGTTGTTGTGATAAGCTGAAGTTTCATATTTTGATGATCTTTTTTCAGCCACAGCTTGAAGTGACCGAGGTTTCCTCTCTTTCTGTAGGAATGCTCCCCCTATGCTGCTCACTTGTATGATGCTGAGGATCCTTCCACTCCTGTGCGGACAGTGGCAGGACTGTGCCAAGAATACTGTGAGCAGGTGTGGCAAAAATGTAGGCCCATATTTCACTATCTCTCTGTGGATAAAGAATTATTAGCCCTGGAAAACAATATGGCAAAGTTCTGCCGCTATTTGTCACTTGACGATGTGGACTATTGTTTCCCTCGCCTGCTAGCAAATGAGAATCTTAATAAAAATCTTGGGTTAGTGACTGCTGACTCAGAGGGTTGTTTCCAGTTGTGCCTATTAGAGGTAGCTAATGGTCTGCAGAATCCTGTTGCTATGGTGCATGCAAATGATGGAACTCACAGATTCTTCATTGCTGAACAAGTTGGTTTAGTTTGGACTTACCTACCTGATCGGTCAAGGCTAGAAAAGCCATTTCTGAACATCAGCGAAGCCGTACTTACCTCACCTTGGGAAGGAGATGAGAGAGGTTTTTTAGGTATTGTCTTCCACCCTAAATTCAAATTTAATAGTAAAGTTTATGTCTACTATTCAGTCGAAGTTGATTATGAAGAGAGAATTCGAATAAGTGAGTTCAGAATTTCTCCTGATGACATGAATACTTTGGATCATAGTTCTGAAAGGTATTGTATGCACATTTATCTGTCAAAGTTATGTAAAATTTCAAAGAAAATGTCCTGCATTTTAAAATGCCTGCTAACAGAATAAACAAGATGTATATGGCTCTTTCATTTTAATTTTATATGAGATTAGTTCTATTTATGCTGTCACTTTATATGGGGGAAAGGATGTTAATTCATAATTTGAGATTTTATTGTACAAAGATCAGATTATTCAAAGCCATTTCCCAAAGAGTACATGATGTAATTGCTTCATTTTGCACAGGTCTGGGTTAAGGCAGGGGTGGGCAATAACTTTTTATGAGGGAGCCACGTCAAGAATTAAGTAGGTGACGAAGAGCTGCACTCTTCTTGTTTGTCTGAGTTTTTCAGGAGAATGCTGCTTTCTTCTTGTTTACAATGTCATCTGAATATGACAGCAGGCAGTGTTGTAGCTGGCATCACAAGATATATATGTACCAGATGTGCTAAATCAGGGGTGGGGAACCTTTTTTGCATCGGGGGCTACTCACCCAGAGAAAAAATTAGTCAGGGGCTGCACACAAGTGAGAAGCAAAAAAGAAAAACCAAACCATCACGGATGTGGCCCCTGACTAAGAAGGAGAAAAACACTCCACACATTCCCCTTAGGCCCATCTAGGCTCTGGTGTGCAGGCTAGTAGATTTTGTGTGCTCCAGCCCCATGGTGGGATAGTTGGGAGGGGTGGGGCTGGAGCATCAACAGAAGCTCCCCATTGCTGTGGGGAGCCCTGAGATTCGGGGGCTAGATCCAGGTAAGCTAGGAGCTGCATTGGCCCCTGCACCATAGGTTCCTTACCCCTGTGCTGAAGATTCATGTATCCCTTCTGCTTCAACCACCATTCTAGAGTACATGCATCCATGCTGATGATGAGTACTACTCGATAATGATCACAATTAAAATTAATGCATTTTTTTAATGAGCATCATCATCATGCTCAAAAAATTAGGTTTACAGGATCTTTCGAAAAAGGCTTTTCTTTTCGAAAGAACCATGTCTAGACTGCTGTTTCACTTTCGAAAATGCGTTTTTCGAAAACGTCGTTACATGATTATGCAAATGAAGCATGGGAAATTCAAATCCTACTTCATTTGCAATTTCAATATGTCTAATTTACATCCCTCTTTCGAAAGAGGGATGTAGTCTAGACATAGCCAGAGTGGTGTCAGGTTAAATTAATTAAAGATGATGAGGTGCCTAGATACTGTGGTAACGGGGACCCTATAAATGCTTAAGCTAGATAGAAATATGTAATAATTGTGCAGCATCCTGAGATATCTTATAGTGCTTCATAAAATGTAACACTAATGACCGTATATGCTAGATCAAAATGCATGTAGTATTATTTTAAAAAGAAAACATTTTGCATGCAGACATCTTATACCTTTAAAAAAGTCTGCATTACAATGTATTGGTGCATCCTATTTGCTCTAAAACAAGACATAATTGAAGGCTGTGTTTTGGTTTAATAAATGTTGGTGTTCTATTGCTTCATGTACTGAATTATGGCACAAGCCAAACATATTAAGTGCACTATTTTTGAGCACAGTTGCATTTTTCTTATTAAAAATGTATTACAGATTCTGAGCTAGTTAATCTGATTCTGTGGATGCTCTAAACTTACAATGCAAAGATAATTGAAGTTTTGTGTATAGGACAAAGCAGGACCAGTTTATAATTTGGTATAGGACCCTAAAATTATAATCTTAAGAGAGCACTGAATATTATTCAGTACAAAAATTGATTCTTGTTGCAGCCTTAAAAAAGCAAACCCTGGTGCTGCTGTCCTTACTTAGGCAAGGTTTCCATTTATTTCACTGTGAATATTGTCCAGAGATGGATAGTCAGGCCTGTAACCTCAAGTGGGGTTCAATTAGCGTTAAGAGTGAAAAAGTGTATATTCACTTTGCCTTCAGGTTTACTAATAACTCAGTTTGTCTTGCTATCCTGTAGAATCCCTTTGCTCTGGGAGCAGCTGAACAGAAAGCAGATTTCTATTGTTTACAGGCTTTCGCTGTTACAGTTGGGTACAGTTTTGATGTGCTATTAAGCTTCTCCCATCTAAAAGTGATAAAGTTCAGTGTAGGGATGTTAAATATCAGTTAATTGAATAGTCGAGTAACCTCATGACATTTTATCGGTTAGTCGACTATTCTATAGTCCCTGGGGGGCGGGGCCAGCAGCCACCGTATCAGAGGCAGCAGCGCGGGGTGCCAGGCAGGAGTTGGTCTGTGAAGGGAGCCAGCTGCCTGTTGCCCTGTGCTGCTGCTTCTGAGAAAGAGGTAGCAGCACGGGGAGGCAGCAGTCCCTGTCTGGCGGGGGAGAGGACGGGGTCTGAGCTCCTGGACCTGGCATGAGCCAGAATTGAGCTGGGCTGCCTGCCTGCCTGCCCAAGTCTTAATACACTTGAAATGCAGAGTTGCAGCAGGGGTAGATCCTGGACCCGTCACACACCAGGACTGAGAAAGTTACTGGCAGAGAGAGGGGGAGTGGGAAATGTGTGTAGTCTATAGCATTAACCTTTAAGCTTTTCCTTATTGGTTAATCAGTTAATCGACTATACTATTACATCCCTAGTTCAGTAGTTGATAAATTGATTCCTAGATGAACTAGCTGTTTACAGTGCGCTTTAGAAACTTTTAGAAGGAGAGGCAACAACATAAATGAAGCATACTGTGATTTGTTGTTATATGATTATTTTTACAGATATGAGAGACTCTCAACTTGAAATATAGTCAGTTTTTTATATAAGAAAGTAAAATACATTTCGGCTGTGTCTACACTGGCATGAATTTCCGGAACTGCTTAAAACGGAATACTATTCCGTTTTCAGTTTTTCCAGAAAAGGAGCGTCTACATTGGCAGGCTGCTTTTCCGGGAAAGCCCTTTTTCCGGAAAAGTGTCTGTGGCCAATGTAGATGCGCTTTTCCGGAAAAGAGCCCCGATCGCCATTTTCGCGATCGGGGCATTTTTCCGGAAAAGACTACTGGGCTGTCTACACTGGCCCTTTTCCGGAACAGTGTTCCGGAATAAGGACTTATGCCCGAGCGGGAGCAGAATAGTTTTTCCGGAATAGCGGCTGATTTTGTACAGTAGAGCGTTGTTGCTTTTCTGGAAATTCAAGGGTCAGTGTAGACAGCTTGCAGCTTATTCCGGAAAAGCGGCTGATTTTCCGGAATAAGTGGCTCAGTGTAGACACAGCCTTCAAGTGTTACACTTGCCCCTGAATCCCACTGCCAAAATTTGTGTGTTTTCCTATATTTACCTGTTTGCTTAAACATGCTGGTACTAAGGATGTTGGAGTGTAAATGATTAACCATTTAACTGATAAGCAGATGCTTATCAGTTAACGGTATCGATTACATTCAGTGAAGCCTCCTCCCTAGATGCTGGGCGGGCAAAGACTGCCTTCTCCACTCCTGGGTAGGAGACTTCACAGCCGGCCCCACTCCAGGGGTGGCTTCTCTGCAGTATAAAGCTTAGCCTGAGCTGAGCTGTGTGGGGAGGCAGCTTTTAAGCCAGCTTCCTGTGCATAGCGGGAGCCTGCGTGTAACTGTGAAGGTTAACTGATGAGCCTAGGCTCATTGCTTCGCCGTGTACAAGGTTACACTTTCACATCCCTAGTCTGCATACAGTTTCATATCTCAAATGTTGTACATGGGCTATTGTGTTACTTTGCCTTTTGCTTATCATTTGCCTTATTGGTAATGCTTTATTCCTCTTTTTTATCAGGATCATTTTGGAGGTAGAAGAGCCAGCTTCCAATCACAATGGAGGAGAGCTGCTCTTTGGAGACGATGGTTATCTTTACATATTTACTGGGGATGGTGGCATGGCTGGTGATCCTTTTGGGACATTTGGAAATGCTCAAAACAAGTATGAGCCTCTAAATCTGTGTGCAGCTTTATAGGAGAAGGCAGTTAAATAAAAGAGATGAGCCCTGGGGAGAGGAGCTGTATATTTTTTCAGTTATATTTATTATTTCCTTAAACGTGTAATTCCCGTTTCCTCAACAGGCTTTAAAGCAATATTCTTGTCTTTTGAAGGTAATCATTACAGGAATTCTATAAAATACCTTTGGTTTTAATTTCATGCTTTAATACAAGTACTCGCTGATATATTGAACTGATCCCAGTTTTCTAGGATTTAGATGGGGACTGTAGAACTTTTCCCTTCCAAGACACCAGTTTAAATCTGTCAGGTTGGTAGTCCCAAAAGATCATTACCATCTGAAGGCTGTCCAGTGGCCCAGGCAAAATGAGATAAATGGTCTTGGTCCAGTTGCTTATGCACAAATGTCCAGATAATAAAAAACCTCCACTTCAGTTGGCACCCTAGTTGGCAGCAAAGAGTCCAGTGTCTGATTGGGCAAGGAAATTGCCCTCATCCTCAGGGTGATCCCATTAATTCTCACTGCTGGTGCTCTGTGAGGAAGCTTGCATTGGTGCTGCCACCTGTTCTGGGGAGTAAATAGAGGGCTTCCATCTATCTGGCATTTTTCATGAGCAATGAATTCACTTAGGCTGCAGTCCTGCGTACAGTAACCTACCAACTTAACTTTTCTTTCATTCTCCCATAGTGGTCTCACTGAAGTCTATAGATTTATTCAGATATTTAAAGTGAAATGTGTGAATGCTTGCAGGATTACGGCCATCCTTTTTTAACTTAATCATTTTTTCCTTTGTATGTAAGACTAAATCCTGATCTCATTAAAGCCTTTGACAAAGCTCTAACTTGTTTTTCACTGAGTAGGTAGGTTGGCTCCCATAAACTTCAACTACATTAATGCATCGAAAGACCTATGTGTTCTGAAATCTTACGAAATTGTAGACAGCATTTAAAAAAAAAACTTGTCTCTGATTAAGAATATGTGTTTAATAGGCTGTTGTCTCTCCCTCCCCTCCTTTCTCTTTTGAACAAATACAGATCAGTGTTGCTGGGCAAGGTGTTACGGATCAATGTGGACAATAATGACCATGGGCCTCTATATAGAATCCCTCCAGACAATCCTTTTGTTAGTGACCCAAAAGCCCGACCTGAAATCTATGCCTATGGGGTGAGAAATATGTGGCGCTGCTCTTTCGATAGGGGTGAACCCTATACAAAGGAAGGGAAAGGGCGACTTTTCTGCGGAGATGTAGGACAGAATAAATTTGAAGAAATCGACATTGTAGAGAAAGGAAAAAATTATGGCTGGAGGGCAAGGGAAGGATTCAGCTGTTATGACAAGAAACTTTGCACCAATTCTTCACTAGGTAATTATACACTCTAAATATGTTCCTGATATTGGGTGGTGCCTGCACTTCCATTATTGACTTCTGATTTCACAGGTTGATTGTGCAGTTGCAAACATGTATGTTTGTGTTAAAATTTAGCATATACTGCCTTATCCTGGATCAGACAGATTTGGGAAGTTACATTTAAAAACTTACCATTTCTGAGTTACAAGAAAAATGAATTGAGTTGTAATTCCTTGGCTAGTCTATTCCTTAGCCAGATGTGCTTCTAATTATGCCAGACTGTGCCAAGTTTTCATGGTAGTTCTGTGATTTGGACAAATATGCACCAGGGACAATTTCATTTTTGCTTCATAAACTACATATATATGTAAGTCTGTGGAAGTAAGAGTGATTTGCTTTATCCACTAGCATCTCCTTCCCCCTGAGATATTAACGTTTTACTTATTTATCTCCATAACTTGTAAATGGTTTAGCTTCATAAAAAGAGATTCTTTGGGCTACTATTTTTAACACTTGGGCTCAGTACACATGTTGTGTGCTACAACTTGGTCAGCATAGTAAATCTCATGGCAAGTCATGCCATAAAGGTATCCAGATTTTGGGCTCCAGTTTCAATGGGAGTAAATTGGCATAGCTTTACTGCAGCCAATGGAGTGACACTGTTTTTCACCAGTCAAGAATCGGCCCTTTTATGTTTTAGTTTGTTCCACTGCATTTTGTTCAATGCCCTACTTTTTTTCTTTTTGCCATATAAACATAATCTTCCTATGAATTTAAATACTTTGTAAGGGAATTGGTACATAGGGAAGGTCATTAAGAGCTATAAAATGTGGGTTAATGGTTTGGAAGGCACGTGGCACATTTTAGGTCTCAATTCTCTTCCTTCTGCCACTGAAAAAATAGCCTTTCAAGTGTCCTTTTAATGCCTATTTGTGTGTCAGTTAGTTATGAGCTATGTTAATAGGAACTACTGTATTGGTGACATGGTGTGTTCAGAACAATTTCTGATGCTTTCATAGATTTTTTTTAAATAAAAAAGTTCATTGGTATGAAGTAACTACTTTAGATGGATATATATAAAAATTGTACAGCATAGCTTCCCATCTGCTCTGACCCTTACAACACACGCACCATTTGAGGCCCAATTACATGAAGTTTTAGAGGGAAGGGGAAAGACTTGGCAGCTCTTAGGCTCGAGTCCCTGTGTTGTGTTGTGTAACCTGCTTTTTGTATGGAAATAGATCCTTAATTTTCTTGACCTTAACAAGAGATTTCCCACCTGGTCTTCCTCACCCACACTACCTTCATGTTCCCAAGGCAGCGAGTTGCTTTTTTTTTTTTTTTTTTTTTTTGACAGAAGTGGGCTGCTTGGGATTCCCTTCAGCTCTCATCAGTTCCAGTTCTAGCTCACCTACAGTAGTTGCTTCCTAGAGATGAAGCTCTAGTGCAGAAGTCTGAGCATGAAGCTGCCATTTAAGGCTCTTTAAGAGCTAATTGCCAGTCTCAGGAGTACTGGCTGAGAGATTGCAGAAAAATGCCAAGTCTTTGGGATTCCCAGCAAACAAGTGTGGGGAAGACAGGATGGGAAGAGAAATACCTATTACACTGAACAGAAGAGGGGTAGAGACTAGGAGAAATACATGCACTCTTGCCCCCACATACATTTACTCTTTGTCCCTGTAGCCAGGACTTTGGGGGAAGAGAGGAAACTTTTAAGATGGAGCCCTAGAGAGCCACAACCCTTGGCATTGCTTTGTGGTGATTTCATGAAAAAAATGTATCAAATATGGCAGTGCTGTCAAGATGTGTCACCACAATTATCTTGTAGAGTTTCAAGGTTAAGTTCTTCAGCTTCAGAGTGACATGAGAAATCCCCCCTGACAGTGTTGTGAACATGCTGTTTCTTTCATGCTTGCAGCCCTGTTCTACAGGGGAGAGGCCAGGCTCAGGAATACAGTGAGACATCTCCCATGACAGCATATAGCTAATCATGGGGCCCTTAGGTCCACTATTACATTATTTTGTGCTGCATTTAATTACTGGGTCAGTTTCTCAGTAAGGAGTCCCTAGTTATCTCAGCCATTTGGGGGAAAGTGACCTGAAAGGCTAAAGTATAATGGAAATAAATTTGATTCCATTCAGAAGTTGGTTTAGCATAGAACAAGAAGCTGTATGGGAACTTGATAGTAAACATCTCTGTTTAGTAACCAGCCAGAACAGTTGTTCTGCATCATACTTAAAACAAGACAAGACACAATATCTTCTCCCCTTTACAGATGATGTGCTTCCAATTTATGCTTATCCACACAAAATGGGGAAATCTGTTACAGGAGGCTATGTCTATCGGGGTTGTGAGTCTCCAAACCTGAATGGGCTGTACATATTTGGTGATTTTATGAGTGGGTAAGTCCAGTCGCTCAGCAAGCAAAAAATCGTCTCACTTTTAATCTAGTAAGCAAAAAATATCTGGTCCAGTTGTCTGATGCAAATTATTTTTTGTCTCACAGACGCTTAATGTCCTTGAAAGAGAAGAAGTCCACTGGAGAATGGCAGTACACTGAAATTTGCATGGGAACAGGACAAACTTGCATGTTCCCTGGGCTTATCAATAATTATTATCAGTACATCATCTCTTTTGCTGAAGACGAGGCAGGTAATCATGTTCTATTATACTGAACAGTGCAATAGTATTTTATCTTCAGAGAAAGACACCTTGGACCAAGAATACTTCTTTAGGTTGAAAAGCATGCATTCTGGGTGGTAGCTCATGTAAGGTCCAGAGTGTGCCCAAATATTAAAAAATAGGATTCCAGGTTCTCACAGATTTTTTTTTTTAAAAAGTGCAGTCAAGGATTTCCAGGCAGTGTTCTCTTCTTTAAGTGTCCAGTGTGTCATTCAGTGATGATCCTAGCAGCAGTTTGGAGAGAGGTTATTCACCATTTTATTTGTTTACTTTGTTACTGCAAATTCATTTGCATTATCGTATGCCCCATTGTCATATGGAGGGGAACAACTGGCCCTGGACAAATATGTTAACATATTATTTACAGGAAACCTTAATCTCCACTTTGAAAAAGCCATAAGAAACATAGACTCTGGCGGTACATCTGCACTGCAGTAAATGAACCAGAGCACAGGGCTGGACAGGAGTCAACTGCCACAAATCTATAAGACTTGAGTATCAAGGTTAAAAAGTGCAGTGTAGATGTTTGGGCTCAGGCTGGAGCATGGCTCTGAAATCATGAAGGGTAAAGATCTCAGAGCCTGGGCTACAGACCAAGTCTGAATTCTCACAGTGCTGTTTTTGGCTTCATAGACCAAGCCCTGCAAGCTCAAATCAAGCAGCCTGGGCTCTGAGATTCAGTGACATTTAAAAAAAATGATTGCAGTGTGGTGGCACCTGGGTGGCCACCAGGCTGATGGTAATAATGAAAGGAGTCTGTTGTTCGATACAGCAGCTTATTCTTTCGGTTCATTTAGGGATCTGGATTGGACATTATTAATGTCCAATCCAGAAAATTAGACACAGTAAGTGGTGACAGTGAAATCTGCTCATACTGGCCTTGAATATTGTGAATCTCCTTTTGGAGTGAAACAGAATGGAAATTGTACACTGTTTTAGTATCTTGCAATGTATGAATTGCAGACAATCGTATCTTTGCTTTTAGGTTCATACTCTAGCAAAACTTCCATTGGTGTCATTGAAAGTTTTGCTAAAGTAGTAGTGAAAGTTTTGGTTTAAAAGCAGCGAGGTGTCCTGTGGCACCTTAAGCTTTCGTGGACAAAGATCCACTTCGTCAGATGCATCTGACAAAGTGGGTCTTTGTCCACAAAAGCTTATGCTCCAAAACTTCAGTTAGTCTATAAGGTGCCACAGGACTCCTCGCTGCTTTTGCAGATTCAGACTAACACGGCTACCCCTCTGATACTTGACACCATGCAAAGTTTTGCTTTGGTTTTAAATAATTTTATTTGCGAAAAGGCTTCAGCATAAGTTTCTGGCTTTGTATATTACATGAATGATCTTATATGCTATAAAACTGAGGTTTAGTGCAGGAGGTGGAGGAGAGAGGATCTGGGAAAATTTGACATTGGTCAACTTTGTTAGTACATTCATATTATTAATTATGTGGGGCTGGGGTAAGGATAAGCATGTAGTACAATTCATAGTTGTAGACATGTTAGAAACACTGTACAGATGTTTAGCATGGTTGCTAAGCAGCGGCATACTCTACATTGAAATTTAGGAGTTTGTACTTTTAGCCATTGTAATGTAATGTTGGCTTCTGATCACAGTGACTCCTGCCAGAATCCTTGATGTAGGGTTTTATAACTCTTTGTTGTTCCTGGATAGCTGTGTCTACGTTGGCGTAATCTTGCACAAAAGCAGCTTTTGCTCAAAAACTTGCTGCCTGTCTACACTAGCTGCGAGTTCTTGCCAAGAACACTGATGTTCTAATGTATGAAATCAGTGCTTCTTGCGCAAGAACTATGACGCTCCCACTCAGGAAGAAGCCCTCTTGCGCAACTGTTCTTGCTCAAGGGGCCAGTGTAGACAGGCAGCCAAGAGATTTTGCGCAAGAGCCGTCCAAACGGAAAAAATCCCTAGTGTCCGCTTGGACGCTTTGTATGCTCAGGCAGCTCCGGACTTCCTGGTAACCCGAGCCCCCTTAAAGGCAGAAGCAGCCTGCAGAGGCCACAAGGCAGAAGCACCTTTGCCACTTCTGCCAGCCAGCTCTGCTCCCTCGAACAGCCACCAGACCACCCAGGATGGCCGCTCCGGGGGGGGGGGGGGACAACCCGTACCCCCAGCGCAGGAGGCGCCATGGGGCACAAAGTGGCATGCCCCTTCCTGGTCCCCAGGGGAGATCGAGGCCCTCCTGGCCCTCTGGGGAGAGGAAGAGGCCCTCCACAACGTCTGTGCCCATTGGCGGAACGCGGACATCTTTCGCCACATGGCCCAGGCACTCTCTGACTAGGGTCATCCAGCCCGGACCCTCAAGCAGGTCCGGGCTAAGGTCAAAGAGCTGCGCCTGGGCTGTGTCTGAGCCAGCGAGGGCCAGGGGGCAGGAGATGACAGCTGCCCCCATTACTAGCGGCTCCATGCCATCCTTGGAGAGGCAGCACCCCAGGGACCATCAGTGACGGTGGACAGCAGCAGGAGCCCCTCCCGTCACCAGGCCCAGCGAGGAGGGGGACGACCCAGAGCTACCCAGTGGGTCAGAGGAGGAGGAGGACCAGGGCAGCACCGTGACCCTGCAGCTCGAGGTCCTCTCAAGCAGCCTGGACATCTCCCGTGCATCATCGGAGACCGGGGAAGGATCCACTGGTGAGTGTTGCACTTTGCATTCACAAGGGCGGGGGGAGCCAGGCGCCTGAGGGGGAGGGGAAAGGAGCGTCACTGAGGCCGCATGAGCTGCACGCTGTGTAGCATTACCAGTATGCAGCATGTGCAACCACGTGCAGCCTGGTGACGGAGCGGCATGTGGCCGCAGCAGGCAGCTCCAGGGCACGCCTGGCACCGTGCTGCTCGCACACATCCGGGGGACCTGGGGGGGAAGGGTGGATGCCGGCTGGAACCAGCCAGGACCCCACACCTCCCGGGAAAGGGTGCAGCACTGTTCCATGCCTGGCTGTCCAGCACAGCCAGCTGCTCCTGGGAAAACCACAACGACACAGCTCTGTGAGCGTGGCCCCCACTGAGCCCCTCGCCTGCTCCCGGTGCCTTGGCTGGCCCCCCAAGGGAAGTCCCCACTATGGCCACATGTGTCCTTGGGCTACGTGTGTGAGGGCTAGCGGGAGTGGGGGAAGTGCTCGGGCCGGCCCTAGGGCCACCTGAGTTTCCCTGCAAGGATGGTACAGTCCCCAGTCACTCCTGGTTCCGTCCAGGAGACATACCACGTGATGGGGATCTGAGAGCCCAGACCACGTCTGCCAGACGTGCTCCCAGGCACTGTGTGGGGATTCATCTTGCTCCCTGTCAAACACCATTGATTAGCCCAAAGCCTCACAGCCTCCATCCGCAGGGAGTTCCACAGGTTAACACAACACACGCGCCCTCCCACCCCCCAAGGGGCCAGGACACAGACCGGTGGTTACAATACATGGATGAGAACCCTTCTCCGGGGGCGGTCCTGTATGCAAACATACAACATGGGTGGGGGGACGAGTGGGCCCAGGCCACAGTACTGTGGTGTCACCTGGGCTCAGGGGCAGAGGATATGGGATGGTAGCCGGGCTGCCTGACTGACCCATCCTTTTCTCTGTTCCCTGCAGCGGGACCAAGCAGGAGCGGGGGACCCTCCAGCCCTGCGGCAGCAGCAGCACCCCCAACCACCCAATTACCAAGCTGGCGGGTCCGGCAGCGGGACCAACTTCTTTGGCGGCACGTCCAGGCCATCGAACACATGGAGGTGGCCATCACACGCCGGGTGGAGGCGGACCTGGAGTGTCGCCAGCAGGCCTGGGGCCACTTCCAGGCCCAGTGCGTCCACATGGCAGATGCCATCACCGCCCTCACCGCGCACATTGGCCAGGCTGTACATTACAGCATGGCATTGCCCTATGCACCCGCCATCCCAAGGGAAGGCCTTGTTTGGACACAGACTGGCTAACCTTGTGAGGAGGGCTTTAAACTAGGTTTGTTGGGGGCAGGTGAACAAAGCCCACAGGTAAGTGCTGCATGTGCGGGACTGGGAGATGGGTTGGAAATGGGGGGGACTACGGCCTATAATGGGAAGGAGAAAGGAGGGTCAGGGCACAACAGGGAGGCAAGATCAAATCAGTATCTTAGATGCCTATATACAAATGCGAGAAGTATGGGTAATAAGCAGGAAGAACTGGAATTGCTAACCAATAAATACAACTATGATATCATTGGTATTACAGAAACCTGGTGGGATGGGACACATGATTGGAATGTTGGTATGGAAGGGTACGGCTTGCTCAGGAAGGACAGACAGGGAAAAAAGGGAGGAGGGGTTGCCTTGTATATTAAAAATGTACACACTTGGACTGAAGTGGAGATGAACGTAGGAGATAGCTGTGTAGAGAGTCTCTGGGTTAAGCTAAAAGGGGTAAAAAACGAGGGTGATATCATGCTAGGAGTCTACTACAGGCCACCTAGCCAGGTGGAAGAGGTGGATGAGGCCTTTTTTAAACAATTAACAAAACTATCCAAAGCCCAAGATTTGGTGGTGATGGGGGACTTCAACTATCCAGACATATGTTGGGAAACTAACACAGCGAGGCACAGGCTATCCAATAAGTTTCTGGACTGCATTGGAGACAACTTTCTGTTTCAGAAGGTTGAAAAAGCTACCAGAGGAGAAGCTGTTCTGGATTTGGTTTTAACAAATAGGGAGGAACTAGTTGAGAACTTGAAAGTGGAAGACAGTATAGGGGACAGTGATCACGAAATAATAGAGTTCATGATCATAAGGAAAGGTAGAAGGGAGACCACCACAATTGAGGTTATGGATTTCAGGAAGGCAGATTTTGATAAGCTCAGAGAACTTGTAGGTAAGGTCCCATGGGAAGCAAGACTGAAGGGAAAAACAACTGAGGAGAGTTGGAAGTATTTCAAAGGGACGTTGTTAAGGGCCCAAAAGCAAACAATTCCGCTGTGTAGGAAAGATAGAAAATATGGCAAAA